TCTCAAAATAGAAAACTTGAAAACGCGTTAAATTGAAAATTTTGAAAAAAAAAATTTATAATATTTTATTCAATAAATTTGATTATTATGAAATGGAATAATGAACAATAACAACAACAAGATAAAAATAATCAAATGGAATAATGAACAACAACAACAACAACAAGCTGACATTAGCATAAGAAAATGGTAAAGGTTACATTGTTTTCAACCATAATCCGCTAACTACATGCTTCACTCATACGAACAAGATAAAAATGAAACCCTTCGATAAGTTTGTGCATAACACGTTCAAATAATAGGAGCTCAGAATCAATTCGGCCCTTTCCTTTCGCAATCCCTTCTAAGCTTCCTTTGCCCCTGCAGATGGTCACGTTGTCTACTTCTTCAGGTGGTACAGATTAAGAATGCACCAATTTAGCTGCCAACAATGAAACACCCAAAACCATAAAGCAGAATTCATATAATTCTCACCAATTTCATATAATTCGCACCAATTTAGCTGCCGGCAAGGAAACACCAAAAAACACAAAGCAAATCTCATGTATTTCTCACCAATTTCATATAATGAGCACCAGTTTAGCTGCCGAACAGAAACATCCAAAACCACAAAGCAAAATTCACATAATTCTCACCAATTTCATATAATTTGCACCCTTGTTTATTTAGCCGTTCAAGGACAAAACTCGCAAATATCCAACCTAGATAAGCTATTCACAACTATATTTCAGAATTAAACAATACAGGTTAACGAAACCCATCAATTACAGTACAATGCCAAGCAAAATCAAAAGGCATGTTGCCCCATTTCATCGACACCATCTCACTGGAGAATCAATTTCTGATAAAATAGAAAACATTCTACCTGGCCAGAGCTGAACAACGATTCACGAAGAAAGCTGTGTTGTAAAATTGTTGGAAACCGAGAACGAGAACACGCTGTTGGGCTGAGGAGATGGTGGTAATTTCTTCGGATAACTCCAGATGCGACACCTTTCACGTAGGCAATGGCGTTCGGAGATGGTGATGGCTTCAACAGCGTTCGGATGTGGTAGGTCGAGCGACGCCGCGTGTTTTGACAGTCGTGCGGCGCGACAAAATTTCGACACCAAGTGTGGCCGGAGATGGTGACTTGTGATTGGGGATATCAATTTTGGGAATCAGCTTGCCGATTTCGAGATGATGAGCTGTGGGTAGGGTTTCGAATTTGTGGGTGGCTTGCAGAGGGAAGGATGCAGAGGAGAGAATGGGAGTAAAAAAAAAAATCCACTATATTGAATTAGGAATCGAACTCACGACCTATAAGAAACCTGAGGCTCTCCCAACTAAGCTAGCACATTGTTTTGTGGAAAACGCATTTTCCGTGATTTTGAAGGTTTTGTTGGTTTCAACTGAAAATGCCCAAAACGTTCTTTTCGTCATTTTCCATTTTGTTTGTAAAACTTAAACTCATTTTCAGAAATTTGTTTTCGAAAATGCTAAAGAGAACGCATTTTCAGTATTTTGAAAAATCGAAAACAGAAAGCGGCTTGAAAACACCAAAGAGAACGACACTTAAACAAGTGAAACACGTTTCTAGTGTAAATCTCTTGACAATTAAAAAAAAAAAAAAAACCCGTATCTAATTGATAAATGACTATTCAACTATAAGGATCAACTTACTTTCAAAATTTAAACTTAAGGATTAACTTGCTGCTGAAGCAATAGTTTCAGGACTAATATAGCAACTTTTCCATACTATAACGTGGAGAATAAATATATATAAACAGACAGGAATCGGAGAAAATTCACTGTGCTTTAAAAGAAAAAGGGCGGAGAGAGAATAGAGAGAGAGAGAGA